TTTAGATTGTATTTTTCCTATCATGTGGTTACTAAAATAATCCAGGAGTGACGAGATCTAGATTTCCCTCTAATCCAATCAATAGGTAAAAGCGTGGGGGACTTGACTGGCACCAAAGTTAGACAAACATCTCCACCAAGAAGGAAAAGTGAATATGTTAATACAGTACACTTCTGTTTCTGTTTCAAAGCAAAGCAATTTCCTGTTTGCTTGACCGAGAGCCTGTACCCTGCTCATCAGGATCATTTGGCCTGACTCTTTGTTAAGACTTGAGCATAAGAATGTCACATGTCACATGAATGTCACGTATTCAGTCTCAAAACTGAAAACCAAACCAAAGCCATTATTCATAGAGTCACACAAAAAATGCCAGAAGACTTTGGTTAGAAAATTTAAAAATGGACTTTTAAGTGGTCATGTAACTAAAGAGAAAAGTTTAATTTTCCTTCTCTACTCACTAGAACTGACCTCCAACAGTTTTAAAAAACGGTACCCTTGTTCAGTATGTCCTCCTATAAATTTTGTCATTACGATTATTTACCTTAATTTAAGAGAGTTCACAAGATTCTCTACAGAACAGCTTTAGAGTGATGTGTGTTTCTGTTTTTCTAACTTAATAGTCTCTTATTCCCTGTTAGCGAGTGGAGAAGTAGGTTCATAAAATATTGATTCAGATTTCATCTCTGCATTGATACATGGGTGAATCATCCAAATTGTGGCCAGTTCTTCCCAAGTACTGTAGAATATACCTATAGATTCATGTTGAGATTTGATAGAAAGCAACAAAATTCTGTAAAGCAATTATCCTTCAATAAAAAAAATAAATTAAAAAAAAAGAATATACCTATATAGCTATATTTTGATGATTTCTTGTCGAGCATTGTTAACTAACTGGGTTTCCCTGGTGGCTCAGTGGTAAAGAATCTGCCTACAATGCAGGAGACCCAGGTTCGATCCCTGGGTTGGGAAGATCCCCTGGGGCAGGGCATGGCAACCTACTCCAGTATTCTTGCCTGGAGAATCCCGTGGACAGAGGAATGTGGCGGGCTGCAGTCCACGGGGTCACAGAGAGTCAGACACGAGTGAGTGACTGAGCACACAGCACAGTAACTCACTACAGTCGTCACTTTCATTGGTTCCAGGACACTCCACAGATACCAAATATATCAATAAAATAGAGTAGTGTTTGCAAATAAACAGTGCACATCCCCCCCCAAATACTTTAAAAATCATCTCTAGATTACTTATAATACCTAATATAATGTAAATGCTACGTGTGTGAACGTGAAAGTGTTAGTCGCTTAGCTGTGTCTGACCCTTTGTGACCCATGGATGGTAGCCCACCAGGCTCCTCTGTCCTTGGGATTCTCCAGGCAAGAACACTGGAGTGGGTTGCCAGGCCCTCCCTGACGGGATCTTCCTGACCCAGGGGTTGAACCAGGGTCTCATGCACTGCAGGTGGATTCTTTATCTTCTGAGCCACCAGGGAAGCCCAAAATGATACACAAATAATTGTAAATACAGGGAAATGTTATATAAATAGGTGCTGGCACATGGCAAATGCAGGTTTCTTTTTTAGAACTTTCTGGAATATTTTCCCCAGTTTTTTTCCATCTGTAATTGGTTGAGTCAGCAGATTTGGAACACCTGGACAAGGAGAGGTGACTGGCATGTCAGAAGTTACTAAATTTAATTAAATCAGTCAGTCGCTGAAAAACCACTTAACAAGCGTGGGAGTAAATTAATCCATGCAGGCTGCACTTTCTGTCCTCTGGAAATTTGATCTAAGTGGTAAAGAGTCCACCATCTGTAGTGCAGGAGGCCCCAGCTGGATTCCTGGATTAGGAAGATCCCCTGGAGAAGGGATAGGCTGCCCACTCCAGTATTCTTGGGCTTCCCTGGTGGCTTAGCTGGTAAAGAATCCACCTGCAGTGCGGGAGACCTGGGTTCGATCTCTGGGTTGGGAAGATACCCTGGAAAAGGGCAGGCTACCCACTCCAGTATTCTTGCCTGGAGAATCCCCATGGACAGAGGAGCTTGATGGGCTACAGTCCATTCGGTTGCAAAGAGTCGGACACAACTGAGCAAGTAAGCAAACACACAGAACGTTTATATATCTCAGCCACACTTTGTCACTAGCTGCACGTAAAAAGAAATGCAAGAAGGCAAAGTGGTTGTCTGAAGAGGTCTTAAAAATAACAGAAACAGAAGAGATTAAGAAGAGATGGGAAGAATACACAGAAAAACTATACAAAAAAGGTCTTAATGACCCAGATAACCATGATGGTATGGTCACTTACCTAGACCCAGACATCCTGGAGTGTGAAGTCAAGGGGGCCTTATGAAGCATTATTACAAATAAAGCTAATGAAGGTGATAGAATTCCAGCTGAGCTATTTCAAATCCTTAAAGATGATGCAGTTGAAGTACTGCACTCAAAATGCCAGCAAATTTGGAAAACTCAGCAGTAGCAACAGGACTGGAAAAGATCAGCTTTCATTCCAATCCCAGAGCAGGGAAGTGCCAAAGAATGTTCAAACTGCCATAGAATTGTGCTCATGTTAGTAAGGTTATGCTCAAAATCCTTCAAGCTAGACCTCAGCAGTACGAGGATCAAGAACTTCTAGATGTATAAGCTGAATTTAGAAAAGGCAGAGGAACCAGAGATAAAATTGCCAACATTCATAGGATCATAGAAAAAGTAAGGGAATTCCAGAAAAACATCTACTTCTGCTTCACTACACTACACTAAAGCTTTTGACTGTGTGGATCACAACAAAATTTTTAAAGAGATGGGAATACCAGACCACCTTACCTTCCTCCTGAGAAATCTGTATGCAAGTCAAGAAGCAACAGTTAGAACTGTACAAGGAGCAACAGACTGGTTCAAAATTTGGAAAGTACACCAAGGCTGCATATTGTCACCCTGCTTATTTAACTTATATAAAGAGTACATCATGCAAAATGACAGGCTAGATGAATCACAAGCTAGAATCAAGATTGCTGGGAGAAATATCAACAACCTCCCTCCAATAAGCAGATGATACCACCCTAATGGCAGAAAGCAAAGAGGAACTAAAAAGTGTCTTAATGAAGGTGAAAGCAGGGAGTGAAAAAGCTGCCTTAAAGCTCAACATTCAAAAAACTAAGATCATAGCATC